TAAAATGGGGGGGAAAAAAAAAAAAACAGAAAGAAATTTTATATAATACCCTACAATTGATAAAACAATTCAACAAAAGAGGCACTTCATCTAGTAGTGAGACCCTGAATACACTGTAGACCCTTCCCTAAAATTAAAAAAAAAAAAAGGATGGGGGCTAAAATCATAATTCCCAGATTTATATGGAGAAGTTGACATTCCGGATAAAATTGATGACCTCAGTCTTGGACTTTCCAGCACTTCTACCCAGTCTGTGCTACTTCATCCCGCAGCCAGAATGGACTAAGAAAATCCCCATCAGATGCGTTAACTGTTAGGTGCCCAGTGAACCTTGACAAAGACTCAGATCCTTAGATTCTCCTCCTCCATCAATTTGTTCCTTTCACAAGGATTTGTTTAGTGATTCACACGGGCCGGCCTCGGCTAGCTAAGGGTAAGCTGAAAAATAAAACTTTTTTTTCCTATCCGGATGTTCAGCTTCCTTATGTTTATGCTGGGGGCACAGTGTGAAATGCTTAACAAAAGTACCACTTTCTTTAATTCTAAATGAAATCATTTCTCTGCTACAAAGCGTGCAGCAGGAAGTGGGGTCTCACATGCTCTGTCAAAAACTTGCCCAGGACCCGCCAAATAGTTCAGCAGATTAAAGCGACTGCAAGCAGGCACAAGGGGTTCCATCTGTAGGCCCGCCCTGCTGGCTCCACCCCGGGGCACGCTGAGACAGCAATTGAGACTGGATGTGGTGTCGCAGGCCTGTAATCCCAACTCTTAGTAGGCTGTAAACAGGCGGATCACTATGAGTCAGATGTAGTAGTGAGACCCTGCACTCCCTGTAGACCCTTCTCTAAAGTACAAAAAACAAAAACAAAAACACTTGCCCACATCTTGCCCATGTACCAAGACTGTACAGTAGGCAAATTTTAAGGTCAGTGAATTAATTGATCTCTGGAGGACGTTTCAAGGCACCCCAGTATTTGGGCAATGTGAACACTCCTGGCTGCTTTTAGCCGGATTTATAGTGAGAATAAGGATCAAAAAGGAGTGCAGAAAAATGTGAAAATTGTTCCAATTGGCCAGAAGAAAAAGCACCTCTAAATTGGGATCAAGGAGAAGGAGTGACATGATTAGTGCCCTTCAAAAAAAATCCAAGTACTTTGCACTGGGACACTAGGAAGGATGCCTTGGGGGCGTCTCAGGAATTGCCCAGACCCCACCCACTCCAGGCTCAAGTGTACAAAAGGGTTAATGACTTTGAGAGACTGCAGTGATAAGAGAGTCCCAGGGCACCCTACTTGCTCAAGGCCATCTAGGGAAGTGTTTCCCAAGGTCAGCCCTCCAGGACCTCAGAGGCTGCTGCAGCCATGGAGGAGTTGGGGGACAGCTACTGCTTGAGCTGGTGGCTGGTAACACTGACACCACCCACATAGTGCCAGTCTGGAGGCATGCAGATTGCAAGAGTTAGGAGTCAGAGACGTTTTCACTCACAATTTCAAAGGAAGGCCTTAGTGGCCAGGCAGTGTGTCCCTTAAATCAGTGAATCATGAACCTGTGAAAGTGAGAATATGAAGGGCCAGTGAGATAGCTCCGTGCCCACCAAGGCAAGTGCAGGGACTGGGGTTCAATCCACGCTGTGCTGGCCCCACCCCCAACGACTGAATCTGGTCATGGTGGTGCATGTCTGTAATCCTAGCACTGGGGAGGCGGAAAACAGGAGGAGCACTCTGAGTCCCATCTGCCCAGTGAGACCCTGCTTTAGATACAGTAAAAAACCTCTTTCCTCCTTTCCCTTCTCCTCTCTTTTGTTCCCCTCCTCATTTGAACATTGTCTCCCTATCTCACAATTACAATTATACATTTTGGTCCTTATTGATATTTTCAGTTTCTCACACCAGAGAAACAATGCAGGTTTACACTTGCGTGTCTGATTTATTTCCCTTAAGAATATGGACTTACGTATCCATCTCCTCTATACTTTCTATTGTTATATTCTCTTTTACCTATTGATTTTAATTGTTCTTAATTTCCCCTCCATGTTAGCCTTTCATTTATTAAATACTTTCTCTAAAGTTGTCATGCCATTTCACATTTTTTGTTTCACTTTGTTAAAGATGACTGCTTACCAGAAGTTTCACACTTTATTTATTTTTTTTTTATGAGTAGAATATATTTATTGAGGGAAAGAAAGCTTCTGGCTGAGAGAGGGACAGGAGGGGGGCCTGAGCGGGTTGTTCCCAATTTCACACTTTAATGTAGCAAAAAACAGAAATTGCTTTCTTTTTTCATGCCCTTTTGTTTTCTGTTTAAGAAAATATTTCTGTTTAAGAAAAATGGCTAGAAAAACACGTTGTATTTGCTTTCATTTATTTTTTTCTGTATTTTTAGAACAGGGTCTACAGGATCTCACTACAGATCAGGCTCACAGTGATTCTCCAGCTTTCAGCCTCCCAAGTGCTGGGATTACAGGTGTGTACCACCACGCTCAGTCTCAATCGATGTCTCAGCATGCCCCCATGGTGGGGGGCACCGCACAGCAGGCCGGGGATCAAACTGGCTGCTGTGCTCTGCCTAAGCAGGCGCTTTAGTCTGCTGAGCTGTCAGGCTGGCCCTTGTATTTGCTTTTTTTTTTTTTTTTGCAGGGGAGGGGGGATGAACCAGGGATTGAACTCAGGCCCTTGTGCTTACCAGGGAAATGCTTATTCCACTGAGCCATCTATTTTCTTTTAACAACTTAATGTTTTTAAATTTCTTTTAAACATATAGATTCTTGGGGCTGGAGAGATGGCTCAGTGGTCTAAAGCACCTACTTGGAACAAGCTTGGCAAAGCACAGGGATTGCGGTTCACTCCTGCAGCACCACATGCCAGCCAACTGCGCCCCCTGGTGGGCTGAGCTGGCCACACACACACACACACACAAATGTTAAAATAAAAAAAATTTTAAAATAAATAAACATATAGATTATTAATTCTTAAGGAACTTATTTTTTGTGAGTGATATAAAGTATGGATCTGACTTCACTTTTTCTATAACTCAATACTTTAGAATCAAATATTGGAGAGTTTAATTTCTTGTGATGTGCAGTGCCACCTCTGTCACGTGTGAAGCTTCTTGACTTGAAAGAGTTGGTTTGGATGCTTTCTTTTGTTACACTGGTCTTCCTGTCTTCTCTTTCAACTAATGTGGTCTTGGGTGTTAGAATCCAGGCCTGTGCACTAGAGACAGCTCCCTCTGTGGCAGCTCAGTATCATCTCTGATGTTACTTGTCCTAGTTCTCTGTTCTGTCTTTGGTTTTGACTTTGGACAGCTCTATTTACTTTATGGATAGACAAGATATGCACAGGAAGAATTTATATCTATCATTTCTTCGCATTTTGAAGGGAGAATTTTCGGTTTATCTAGCGTGCAATATTATACAAATCATAATCTTACAATCTTCCTCAAAACAATGAAACATTCTATGCTTAACTGCACATAGCTGTTTTCGGGCAGCAGGAGCTGCAGTGGAAACAAAAATGGGGGAAGGAAAATGATCACTGGAGGGAGGGGAGAAGAGGGGGGAAAGAAGGTAAAAAGAAGTAACATGTGCTGTGTCCACTGCCAACTCCTTACTATGAATGTAACCATTATACAAATCAGACGTGTGATAATAAGTGTAAAAAAAAATCATTAAAGGGTTGATTGGTGGCAAATAAGGAGGGTCATTCTAGAATTTTCACTGCCTTCTTGTGCAGGTTCCATGTGCCTAGCTGGGGCTCTATGGTAGAAAAACCTCTATAGTAGCACAACACAAACTCTTACGTTTATCTCTGAATTAGGGGCCCGGGAGATAGCTCAGTAGAATAAGTGTTTGCCTGGCAAGCACAAGGGTCTGAGTTCAATCCCTGGTTCCACCAAAAAAAAAAAAAAAAAAAAAAAAAAAGTCAATCTATCTCTGAATTAAAGATTGTATTAGGAATAAACAACCTCTTGAGAACAGAGCCTTTTTAGGACCTACTACCATGGCATTTACACAGTAAATGAGCAAATTTTCTTGTACTAAATTACAATAGGATTTATTGACCTTATGTCCATCCACAGTCAGAAGTAAGTCTTACCCAACAATAAGTCTGACATAGCCACTACGAGTACTTTGATCTATAGTGAGAAAAGAGAAACATTTTTTTCAGGGAAGGGGCAAAGACGTTGTACATCATTTAGAGAACGATTTCATTTATGTTCAGACACAGACGTAGGTGTGTCTCTCCGGGCATCTAGTAATGCCCTCGTGTGAATTCAGCATGAAAGTTCACAGGTAGGACATTAACAACAGCTTCTTTTGGAAATATAGATGCTTTCTCTTTAAAAAGCAATTAAATTAGTACTAAAAATTTAAGGTACCTTAGTCCCTCACTTGTCACGGAGGAACCTTCCAACACCCCCGCGATAAGTGAAAATCAGCAAAGTAGTGACATTATATTTATGTTAGTATTTATATATATTTTAAGGCTTTATAACCCTTTCCCACCTTCTTATAAACCTTTCCCACACCTTTAAAAACACTTCTAATGTTCTTAACCATTTTCTAAACTCATAAACCTGCATAATTTTAACAACACAGAGTATACTATCCATTACTGCAAAATCCCACAATATACCGAAAAATCTATGATAAATAATTCAGATTAATATTTTTTTCCTCTCTTTTTTACTCTTTTTTTTTTTTACAACGCCTGATCTATTTATTTATTTATTT